TATAGATTTCTAGTAAAAAGTCAAACATTAAGAAGGGACTTGGAATCCATTATGACCAGATATCAAATCTACCCAAGTTTTAATTATGATCAGAATTTGAAGCGTTTGGGGGGATTGCCTCTTCTATATGCTTCAGGAAGTGGGATTCACATAGAAATTGCTGTGGACCATTGGGTTGGTGTTGGTAGAAACCATCATCTGAAATGTCAAAGGGCACTGAAAACAAAGAGAGCTTCTGAGGACAATTGCACAGGGAAAGGAGAACTTGGGACCTTGCCTGGGTTTTGCCATGGCATTTCACTGGGGGAGGCTGTCAGTCCTCACCCTGCGTTTCTTTTACTTCCTTTTATAAGCATGCAGGTCACCATAAAGTAAGTTCATCTAAAGGACTTTTTTGAAGAAATTAAAATTATTTTAAAAATTATCTGTGTATCTATCAATATGCCTCCCCCCGCACCTCCTGCCGTAAAGAGAGTTTCTTGGTTTTTAGCTTTTATCAGATTTTCATGAGGCCACAGATCCAAAAAAAAGGATAAGTAGTATGGTTTTCTGGTTTCAATATTTATTCAACTTTATGTAGGTCTCTCACAATCCCCATCTCAATTGTGAGATTTGGCAGTTTGCTGCCTTTGTCCTTCTGCTTCTCTTTAGTTGTTCTTCAGTTTATCACGAATGAAGTCATTTCTCATGGCTGAGTAGCCTCTGCCTAGCTTCCCAGGGCCACCACCATGCTTCATACATGCATATGGGCTCAGGGCTTTAAGCATGCTCCAGTGACTTTTTTTCTAGGCCTATTTAAGTGCATGCCTTAACTTGGTAAACTTGAAAGCACTTTTACTTTCTTTCTTTCTTTCTTTTTTTTTTTTTGAGAGAGAGAGTGAGGGAGAGAGCAGGAGTAGAGGGTAAGGGTAGGGGCAAAGGGATAGGGAGAGAGAAAGAATCTTAAGCAGGCTGCGTGCCTAGCATGGAACCCAACACTGGGTTCTATCTCATGACCCCAAGATCATGACCTGAGCTGAAATCAAGGGTCAGACATTTAACCACTGAGCTACCAAAAAAACCCTTCTTTTTTTCTTATTTAAGCTTCATAATAATACAGTTAAATAGGTAGGGAAAGGCATTCTCACACTCAGTGACTTAGTTCTACAGTAAAGATGGACCTAGATGTAAAATCTAATGGAGTCTGTCTCTTGCTTTCCTTTTTACTGCAGTAGAGGATGTAAATTTGGTTAAGGATGAAGAGTTTGGGGGTGTCGAGGAAGATGAGATGGTGGGAGTGAGCTTATTAAGGAATAAGTGGAAGGTTCTTAGTTGGGTGTTTTTTTTTTCTGAGTAGAGAGGAATAATGAAACCAAATCTATACAAACAGGCCCATTTGATTTAATATGTTTGCTGGTTTGAGATAATTAAATTTCAATCATTGATAGAATAACCAAAGTTGGATACTACATATATCTAGGACTTTTCTGCTGCTGTGCCATCTCAGGCCACCTTAATCTTGTTCCTCTTCCAGCTCCTTATCAGTCCTGTGGCCTCACTGTGCCACACTGATGCCTTTTTGGGGGAGCTCCCTCCTGAGAGCCTGTCACAGGGTCTGTGGCCTGATGCACTGCACTGGTTCTGGTAGCTTTGTTTTTTGTTTTCTCCACTGTGTAAATGGAGAACGAGAATCAAGGGAGCAACTTGCCTAAAATGGTTTCACTACCTCCTCACCTAATCTTATTTCTCCCAAACTAGTGCTTTTCAAAGTGTGGCCCGCTTGCCAGCTTTAGGACGAGTCTGTGATAAGAACAGAAATTAAGGGGTGCCTGGGTGGCTCAGTCAGTTAAGTGTCTGCCTTTGCCTCAGGTCATGATCCCAGGGTCCTGGGATTGAGCTCCTCATCAGGCTCCTTGCTCAATGGGGAACCTGCTTCTCCCTCTCCCTCCGCCTGCCGCTCTGCCTACTTGTGCTCGCTCTCTCTAGCTCTCTGTCAAATAAATAAAATCTTAAAAAAAAAAAAACAACAACAACCAGAGATTAAGAAGGGGCGCCTATGTGGTTCAGTTGGTTAAATGTCCAACTCTTGATCTCAGCTCAGGTCTTGATCTGAGGGTCATGAGTTCCAGCCCCACGTTGGGCTCCATGCCAGGTATGGAGACTACTTAAAAAAAAAAAAAACTTTGAAGAACAGAAATTGAGAGTAAGAGTTTTAGAAATTTTACTAGCAATTTGACAGAGTAATTTTATGTGTGCTGAGTTTAATAATAAAGAATTTGGGCTTTTATTTTGTCTTTTTAAATTTTCATTTTTCTAGTAGTTTTATTGTTTTATTGTATTTTACAAAACAACCAGTTCACAATGTATTAAGAAAAAAACCAAACTGGTCCTTAACCACAGACAATTTGAGAAACACTGAATTAGACCGCAGAGACTTTTGAAAATAGGACTTTTGAAAATGATGATATACTATCCACATGCAAACCACTGTCATTTTAGTTTAATGATATCTCTGTCATGCTTTGTAGTTTCAGTGTCTTTAACTCATCTGAAATTCCCCCAAATGATACAGTGACATGGTGAAAATGCCGGAGTGTTTGCTAAGTTTGGCTCTATGCCACCTACAATCCTGGCCAAATGGTTTAAGTCTTTGAGCCCTGGTCTCCTCATCTGTAATAACAACAGCACTCACCTCAGAGAGGTGTTTTTCTGATTAAATGAAAGAATGTGTGTAATACACAGAATAGTGTCTGGATCCAACATTGTAAATACAATAAATGTTGGATATTAATGAGCTGCAGTAAACACTATTATAAAATGGAGATCATACTTATTTATCATCATGAGAAAAGTACAGATTAACATGTTATAATTCCCCATTAAACATTTAAGCAATATCACGGACAAGACCTTTTGGCAGATACCAGGATATAATCTTTGTCCTCCAGGAGTTTAGAATCTAGCAGAGGATATTAAATACACACATGGAAGATGTGTGTGGAGTAAAATCAAGGCCATCAGAGGAAAAAATGAAGTAAATAAATTTTTTTGATTCCTCTAAGGAAGCAAGAGGTTTTAAAGAGGACAATGTTTGAGATGAACCTAAAAGGATGGATTGATGTTTTAGAACTTTGAGTGAAATATGACACAGAGAAGTTTCAAATGATCATGATATATTAAGCTAATATTGATTGGATATTAAATCAGACATACTGATGTCAATATGTACAGTATGAGTCCCTCCCCAATTTTTTTTTAAAGATTTTATTTATTTATTTGACAGAGACACAGTGAGAGAGGGAACACAAGCAGGAGGAGTGGGAGAGGGAGAAGCAGGCTTCATGTGGGGCAGGGAGCCCGACGTGGGGCTCGATCCCAGGACCCTGGGATCATGACCCGAGCCAAAGGCAGACACTTAACTGACTGAGCCACCCAGGTGCCCCATCTCCCCAATTTTTATTAAAATATTTACATAAAGGCCTAGATGGAGAAATTAAATGATTATTTCTTGGTGGTGAGATTATGGGGAATATTTGTTTCCTTATTTTAATTTTTAAAAAGTTAAAAAATTTTTTGATATTTAAGATTTTATAAATATGTATATTACCAGAGTAGTTTTAAATTTTTTCTTTTCTTTTTTACAAAACTACTTTTTAAAGGGCTGGGTCAAATCAAAGCTGCTAATTTAAGTATAACTTGGTCCAACCCTTACAAAATCATTTTGGCAGTTTGTATTAGTAACTATAAATGTTTGGATACACTTTTACCTAATGATTCCATTTCTGGGTATTTATCTTAAAAAAAATCTACATTCAGGAATGTCCTATGATTTCTTTGTAATGGCAAAGAGAGAAGGGAATAAGTTATGTCTAAGAATAGAGAATTCAGTAAATTTTCCATGTCCACTTAATAAAATTTTATACAGCTGTCAAAATGCTGATGAAGCTTATGAGAAATATGAAAAATACTTAAACATCTGAAAAAACAGGACCCCAAAACTGTGTGCACTCTATGATAACAACATTGTAAAATAAATATGCATGGGACAAAAAAATCTAAAAGAAAATACACCAGATTCTGAGAGTGGTCATGTTCCTGTGAAGGAATTTTTCTTTATTGTCCTCATGTTCTACAATGCAGTTAAAATTATTTTTACAATGAAAGCAATTATTTTAAAGCCTGGGGATAAAAAGTTTCCTCACTGGCGCTCTGATTTGAAAGTACTAAATTAATTGAGTATTAATTACCTATTCTATATATTCCTTTATAGTTCCTTAAGCTTCTACAGACCACATTTTTTTTTAAGATTTTATTTATTTATTCATTCATGAGAGACAGAAGGAGAGAGAGAAGCACAGGGAGAAGCAGGCTCCCAAGGAGCAGGGAGCCCGATGCGGGACTCGATCCCAGGATTCTGGGATCATGACCTGAGCCGAAAGCAGACGCTTAACCATCTGAGCCACCCAGGCACCTTACAGACCACATTTTGAGATTGTCTCTCTAAAGTTTATCTATGTGCGGTCGTCCTGCCATGATTTGCATAGAAGCGAATGACAGAAGGGACTCTCTCCTTTTACAAATGAGAACTGTGAAATCCAGCCTTCGAAGCTGGTAGCAGAACCAAAATTGGAACCCAAGTCTACGAGGTTATCTAATAGTATTTAATACCATTTCTAGCTCCAGATCCACCCATGAGTCCTAATAAACTGGTCTTGTCTATTGACAACATTGGCGTTGGCTACCTTACCGGCTCGCCTGAGGGTTTGATTCCTTTCCTGGAGCTTTCGCTCTTCACCACTCGGGGGCCCGCAATACTTCACGGTTTTTAAGTCCCTCACTCTTTCCATCCCCAGCGTCCGAAGTACCGCAGAATACCCGGCAGGAGTCGCTGCACCCCCCGCTCCCCCCGGTACCGCGGCCCCTCCCCTGGCCAACCGTCGATTGGGCCGGCGCGTGACGTCACGCCGTTTTAGCCAAACAAATGGGTTTCGGGGCGAGCGTTGGGCTCCGCCGCGCCGCGCTGGGCGCTCGGTCCGCCTCAGCGGTGGGGAGCGAGCCAGGCCTCCCGCCGCCGCCGCCGCCGCCGCCGCATCGGGGTGTGCAGCCCCGGGCCAGGCCCGGGCCGGGGCAGGAGCGCAGGTGGGTTGGGACCGCGGTGGGGCGTGGCGTGAGGGCAGCGCGGTCGGGGTCCTGCGGCGGCGGCCACGGTGGCCGCTCCCCGCCCCCTCCCGCCGCCTGCCTGCGCTCCCCGGGCGCGGGGCGGGTGGGGGTGGGGGTGGGGGTGGGGGCGCCGCCCGCGGGTCCCGGGCTCGCGGCGCGCTCGGCGCGTCTGTGGCAGGGGCCCGGCCCTCCTCCCGGGCCGGTCTCAGCCAGCGCACTGGCCGGGCGCTGAGCGCCCCCGCGGGCCGAGGAAGGTCGAGCGGGCCGGCAGGCGGCAGCCGGGTCCCGGGTCCGGGCTGAAGCTCAGGAGATCACGGATAGGCCGTGAGGAGGCACTGGACCGGCTCTCTTCAACCTCCGTGACCCGCGGTAGGTGAGGAAGTCGAGCTCTGGGTGGGGGTCGCCTCCCCTGGTCGCGCCCGCCTGGGCTCGGCCACTCTGTCCTTTCCAACCCGGCGCAGGTGAGCTGACGCCTGCCCTTAACCTTCCTTGGGGACTGGGCAGGACGGGGGCTCGGAAGCTTCTCTCGCCTCCGGGCTGGCACAGGTCGACTGCGGGTCGGCCCCAGTCAGCGATGAGGTCATAGTACTTTGGGTCTTCGTGTCTGTGACGTCAAGGGTTTCCAAGAGATGGGCTGTGATGTCACAGCAGGCCCCGGCTTGGACCTTGGCGCGCGGAAGGGCGGGGAAGACCGGGAGGGGAGAAAAAGGAAGTTCAGTCTTCTATCGACGCCTGGAATCGCAGCGGATTTGAATCGAAAGTGGTTCGATATCAGCATTTCACAGTTGTAATAGTTGTCAAGTTCTTTAACATCATTTCAAGCAAGCATTGTTAGTACAGTTCAATATAAGACATATGATTTAGAAAAATCTAAGGAGGTTGGGGGGTTGAGTGTTTAATGTAAATGCTTTTCAGGAAGCTGAACTCAGTTTGATGGTTTGTGATTGGAATTGCTGAAGAAATAGAACCAGTTGGAGTGCTGATAATTCAATTTGCCTTACTCTTTTTTGCTACACAGTCTTGAAATTATATACGGTATCTGCTTGTTTGCGTTTTTGTTAAGAGAGTGGCTAGGAAGGGGAAGAGCAGATCTTAAATGAACTTTTTCTGTTGTGGAGGGGCGGGGAGGGAGGTTTGAATTAATCCAGTATTCTTTTTAAATAATAATTACCTAACGATTAATTTATCGAGGTTGTCTTTGTCCTGTGCTATCATGGATAATTGAGGGTTTCCTACGGTTATAACTCATCAAAAAGCCATTTTCTTGCTTTCCTACTAAGACTGGGCTATGACAATAACATTCCCAGGATGGCTTGTCTGGACAAGTAACTAAAATTTTGTGTGTATTGCTTTCAAATATGAAACTAACAGAATTTCATTAAAGTGCCTTGTCAGTGGATGTTGTTTTTCTTCCAAAGCTTTCAAAATGAGATCAGGCGACACCAGAAAAGAAGTGAGTCACTTGCCATTACTGACCCTTTTCAGGTATTTCAGCATATCAGTTTAATTTGTTCTCTCTATAGGATCATTTAAATAGAATCTAGTTTGAAAGGTAGTTGCCTTAAAACTGAAGCATAATTACAATTTAGGGTCTTCAGCAGGAAGCTTGGGTAGGAGTCCTCAGGCCTTCCTCACTGACGTTCATTTGTAATGGTAGTTTTTTGTTGTTAATACTTCATCTCCATTTGCTCTTTAAAAGTGATAAGGGATTGTCTTTTTTGGATTTTGCACCAACATGCTGGTGGAAGTTATGCTGTATACATTAACAAAGGAAATGAAAGCAAAAATTTGCTCTCATTAATTACTGTTGAATTTGACTGGAAGTTCACAAAAGAAGGCTTTCTTATAAATCTCATTTTGATCCTCACTCACGATACCCTGGAAATTTGGCAGCGTTGTGTGTACTACTGAAAGTTTTTTTTTTTTCTTTTAAGATATTAGGAATTATGTGTTAACAATGTTGATGGAAGGCTCAAGACAAAATTTGAGCCTTTGGATCCTCAAGAATGATAGTTAACAGAGTTAAGGTGAAACTGAGGATAGTGAGGGTGTTAGCCTACTCTTTTTTTTTTTTTTTAAGATTTTATTTATTTGACAGAGAGACAGCGAGAGAGGGAATACAAGCAGGGGGAGTGGGAGAGGGAGAAGCACGCTCCCCCACTGAGCAGGGAGCCTGATGCAGGGCTCGATCCCAGGACCCTGGGACCATGACCTGAGCTTCCGAAGGCAGACACTTAATGACTGAGCCACCCAGGAGCCCCTGTTAGCCTACTCTTAAGATGAAAGGATCATGGAAAGATACTATGTAATGAAATTGAAGGAGGTTCAGAAGGACACTTGCATATGTCTTTTCCAAGTAACCTTTCTGGGGCAGGCTATGTGGCTCTGTGTAAATTAAGTGTACTTGTGTATGTGGGAAGAGATGAAAGTTAAACTAAATGTGAGTTGAAAGACATATAATAGTAATAATAATAATAATGATAATAAAATCGCCCCTGCTTGGCATGCTTTTTTCCCCTCTATTGTGTTTAGTAGTTACGAATTTTTTTCCTAATGGAAAATGAGATAATAGGTGGAGAATAATGTCTTCAGTGTATTCTGATGTGATTGAGGGACAATGACAGATTTTAAAAAAGCCAGCTTATGTATACAGTTGTATAACTATTTAACAAGCCATAACTCTTCTGAAACATTTTTACCGCTTGTTTCTACCTTTTGCAGGATGTTTTTCTACCCAGGCCTTGAAGTTTCGAGTCCGGTAGCTTTTACTTATAAATGGGAATTTATTTGAAATCGGGTTTATTATTATTTTAAAATGTCATGTTATCTTATTCAGTTACTGCATTTGAAAGGACGAAATCATTCATTAGTGACTATAGCATCTTTTGGACAGGTAAAGCAAATATGAAGAATGAAAGTGCTGTATTTTGTGAATTTTCCAAATTATTTGGATATGTTTATTGGATCAATTCTGTGAACACATAGAATTTAAATTTCTATGCAAAATTCCTACTTTATTTTTTGAATTTAAACTTATGCTCAGTCAGTTTAATTTGGAGTTTTGATATTCTAGTAAGCCTTAATCTTGTTTCAACATTTGTTAGAGGAGAACATACTAATCGTTAGAGACATCATTTAGTGTTACCTTCCAAAATTTGCAGCTGTTTAGAACCAGATACTTGAGGGACGCTACTGTGGTATAATGAATGCCTTCCTTGTTAAGTCATGTGTGACAAAGGCAAAATTCAGCAAGTGCATAATCTACAGTCCTTTGGAAGCAACAAGAAAGAACAGATTAATTCCAAATGCATTTAGGTTATCTGGAAATTGAATTCTTCTCATTCTTTATCTTTGTATAATTTAACTTTAGTTGATGTTTATGGTATTTTGAAGCTGATGAACGTACTATATTATCTAGGAGAGTATTAATGATTAAAATGTAGGTGTTTCTTAACATTAGCTGAAAGAGTTTATCAGCCTATCATTTCCAACTCCATCTTCTAGTTAGCTCTCCACAGAGGAGCCTCCAGATCTTCTCCTTTTAAATATTCAACTTCACGGGGCGCCTGGGTGGCTCAGTCATTAAGCGTCTGCCTTCGGCTCAGGTCATGATCCCAGGGTCCTGGGATCGAGCCCCGCATCGGGCTCCCTGCTCTACGGGAAGCCTGCTTCTCCTTCTCCCACTCCCCCTGTTTGTGTTCCCTCTCGTGCTGTGTCTCTTTCTGTCAAATAAATAAAATCTTAAAAAAAATAATAAGAAATAAATATTCAACTTCAGAATCTAGCACATACATTCCTGTCCTCAGGATAATGTAGGTATAAATATGAAACTAAGCATTAATATGTGTGAATAGTTATTATTATAAGGCATGGGTTTCATTCATCCGACATTTTTTGAATACCTCTATACCAGGTACTCATCCAGGGACTGTGACGTGCAGGTGAATTGTCCTTGCTGCAAGGATCCTTGACCTTTGTGTTAATAATCCCTTGCCATGGAGGGCCATGGGTTTGAGGAGCCAGAATTGGACAAAGAGGGTGAGCCATTTATGTTATGCCAGATTTGCCAGAGGTCTCATCTCAAGGTCAGTTTAAGGAGGTATTTAGAAACTCAGGTGAAAAGAATGGGGAACAGATTATCATATAGGCAAAGGGTCCAGACTCCACAGATTTTGCTTATTCTAAAATGAACGGAGCTTAGTGAGTGAGCACTTACTTTGAGTCAAGAACAAGCGCTCAGAGCCAAAACTAGTCTGTGTAGGCAGTCTAAAATTAGAGCTAGAGTGGAGAGGTAGAATCCAGACATCCCACTCTGAGGTATGTATGTATGTTCTCTTTCTTCTCTGAGGATGCTCCTTTATTTTTTAATTTTTTTTAAAGATTTTATTTATTTGACAGAGAGAGACACAGTGAGAGAGGGAACACAAGCAGGGGGAGCGGGAGAGGGAGAAGCAGGCTTCCCGCGGAGCAGGGAGCCCGATGCGGGGCTCGATCCCAGGACCCTGGGACCATGACTTGAGCTGAAGGCAGACGCTTAACCGACTGAGCCACCCAGGCGCCCTGTTCCTTTTTTAATTATTTTCATTCCTTTTCTTGACAGACCTGCAAAATATGTGAGCCTCTCACAGCCTTCATTTCCACTTTATTTTTATTTTTTAAAAGATCTTAATTATTTATTAGAGTGAGCGAGCGGGAGGGCACAAGCAGGGGGAGTGGTGGGGGAAAGGGAGAAGCAGACTCCCCGCTGAGTAGGGAGCCCGACCACCCCTGGGATCAAGACCTGAGCCGAAGGCAGACACTTAACTACTGAACCACCAGGCATCCCTTCCCTGACATTTTATTATGAAAAATTTTAATCACAGAAAAGTTACAAGAATTGTTTGTTGAACAATTGAATACCTCAGTACCGACAAATGTAGATTCTATATAATTCATATTTTGCCATGTGTACTTAGTTATCCATCCATCCTACACTCCGT